GGGGGGGGGGGGGGGGGGGGGGCGCTCAGGGATAGAGTAACTAGTATTTGCTGGTATCTGGCTTCAGTACGCCATGCAGCTTCCACCCACCAAGTCCTGCCAAAGAAAATGCCTGTAATTAAACAAATTAAGTTAGAGATGCCTCAAAATACAAGAAATTTCATTTCTGCCCTGATTAAACAGCCAAAACAACTGAAAGCGCGAAATTACTGCCAGAGTCCAAGTCTTCAAAAATATTTCAGTAATGTTAATAAACCACCAACATCTGCCCAGATTTCTCATTCGACATCTCCCATTGTGTACACATATGCTGTGCCCAATCCTCAATCCAAGTGTTACTCTTTTAAGTCTACTCCACTATCAATGTACACCTTCCATTTACTTTCCAAAAAAAATGTATACCTTTATTTTTATGGGTTTCCAAAATAAAAATATTGGAAGTTCCATTTCTGCTAGGGGGCCGAGTTGTTCAATATCCAAGAAAACTACATGTCAAAAAATATTTACATCGTCTTTGGCTTAAATGTTTGTCCCAATAAACTTCATTCGTAAAGGCGGCTACTGCTCTCCAATTTAATATGTACTCGACATTCCATCAATCCAAATAGCCAAGTAACACATCAATGGCCAGCTTTGTAGGCTTGGAAATTTACTCTTAAGCTGCAAACTACAATCTCATTGAAGCAATAAAAAAAACTAGTATCTAATCATGAAGAAAGAAAAATTTTAGATCCACAAAGGATTACCGATTGTTACATAGCAAACCCTCACTAGCTGACCTCTGAGTTTTCTACAGAGAAAAGCTCTTACTTCTCTCTACCTTTTTCTTATGACTTTAGACCAAACTTCAAACGTTAACCTTGCTAAACCACCTGATATTCCAAAATCTTATGCTTCTATTCTTCAAACTAAACCTGTTGTACAGTCTGAATTCATTCAATTACCCAATAATGAAAATTCATATCGAAAAGGTTGTTTTAGACAAAGGTGAGGCAGGTGTCTACTTCACAAATGATGAACATCGCAAACTTTGCAAGCCTTGTCAGCAGTCTTTGATTGGTAAATGTGCTTATGGCAGGCCATCTTTGGCTGTTATTCGTGAGGTAATTAGTACTAAATGTTGGACTATTGGATCAAAGGCATATTGTTATTAGATTTAGTCTTCTTGAAGATTATATCAGAACATGGATGAGAGATGTGACTTACATTGAAGATCATTTGTTTCGATTTTTCAAATGGATGCCTGAGTTTATTCCCGTGGTGGAGCCTCCTGAGATGCCGATTTGGATATCATTGCCTGTGCTACCCATGCATTTGTTTAATAGGGAATTTATTGCTCTAATCCTTAGCCCTGTTGGTAGGATTTTGGCCATTGATAAACCAACATTGAATATTACCATAACAAATGTTGCACATGCTTGTGTGGAAGTTAACCTCTTGAAGGACAACCCTAACAGAATATGGACTGATTTGGGAGAGAATAAAAAGCATTGGCAATGAGAAGAACAGTAATTATTGCATGAACTGTTTCAAGCAAGGCAATAGAATGTCTGATTGCAGGAAAGTGAAGGATCCAACAACTACTGATAAGCCAAAGGAAGGAGTTTCTAATTCTGTGAATGACTTAGTCAAAAAGGAAAAACCAGTTGAAAGGAATGCTATTTAAGAGATAAAGAAGGAGGTGGTCTTAGTGCATACTGTTCATAAGGAATATAGACAGAAAGGAAGGGAGAAGATTGGAAATCCAGTAGAAGTTCATAAGGGTTTTCCCTCTAAAATTGTTGCAAACCAGAATGCTGGGGAGTCTTACAAATGCCATGAGGTGTATGGTTCTCAAATGTCTGCTCAATTGGAGAGTGATACCAGAAATAAGTACTTATTTTCTCAAACAGATCAGGGTACTACCCCTTTCGTTTCTGAAAAATCTCATAGAAGAGATCCAATGCCTATTGATGGTAACTCGAGGGATGCATTGGATGAGGTAGGTGTAGATCCATTCGTTGATGTGCAAGGTCTTCAAGGCCTGGCCCTTTTAAATCTGGAGATCAGGTGGTTTCAATTGTTAGCTCTTCTCCAGTGAGGGTTTATGAGCAAGAAGGTGCTGTTTTGCCTGAGGTCATTAACTGTGGTCTTAAGACTCAAATGGAGGATGTGCCCCCGAATATAGTTTTTGAAACTCATGATAAATTGAAGGAGGTTGGTGTTCATTCCAAGGATGATATTGACATGCTAAAACATTTGGATCCTCTTGGGAGAGGGTTTTATTCTGATGGGGAACGAATGAATTTTTGCTAGAAGAAAAGTTTGGATCAGTTCATTCAAGAGGGGAAGACTTAGCTTCTTAGACTGAACAAAGCACAAACTACTTTGATTGGTGTTTCAGGCACTAGTACTCAAAGAGTTAGAAGATCTCAGAGGTGGTCTGCCGGTAATTCCCCACATATTCTTAATGTTTAATTTTATCTCTTGGAATATTAGGGGTATAGGGACAAAGAAGTCCCAGCATAGATTGAAGAGTTTGGTTAATGAGTATAATCCTTAATAGACCCTCCTAAGCAACCGGTGATCACCTCAAATCCGGTATTTGTAATAGTTGGAGATATTTTTTGCCCGATAGCTGACAACTCACCAAGCATAGCCTATTCTAGCACCGGAAGAGCCATTCCAGAAGAAGACAAAATCTCAAACTATGATGAAAGATATATTCAAGAAGAATGGAGCACTAGCGTTAGCCGAAGGAGTAGGAAGCGCCAACAACGATTGATTACTATGCATGCGGCCCTTGAAACGAAGTTTTATCATAAAGAAAAGAATAAGCATCATCAGAACGATTCAAAAAAAGTAGGCAGGGGCAAAGACTAAAAAAAGAACAAAGGAACTTAGACGCACCTAGTGAGTATGGATTTTGTGTCTAAGTTTCCAATAACTCTTAAGGAGTTTATGCCACCTGAGTTAATAGACATCCCAGGCATTGAAAGCCAGTCATGTCATGTCAAGTAATTTCATGTCCAAGTTGCTGATGATTTCGTAGAACTTGTGATAAAGGAAGCAATGGGAGAATTGCCTGAAGAAATTGACAATAAAGAGGTGATGCCTTTATAGAGAAGGGTAGAGGAGGGTAGCTAAGGTGTGGATGAAAAATGAGAAATAGACACGTCACTTCACCAAAGGATACATTCAACGATGCACAAGAATCAGATTTCAACCAACTTTGAAACTCTCGAAAACCAAACAAGGCTTGCGTTTTCTCTCTTTTAAGTACAGTTATTTATTTTCACATCCTGATTGGGTTAACAACATATATTATATTATCCAGCAGGATATTGAATTCCCTATTTTCAAGTGTGCGATGGAGAAAAAAAATCATATGAACATTTGGTATTCTTCCCTCATCGATGTGGAGATAGAGCCAGAAGTGAGGCTTTATGTCTTCGTCAATTTCAAATATTATTGATAAGTACTACTCTTACATGCATGGCTTACACCATAAAACCATTCCTACTTGGGATGCTATGGTCACAACATTTCTAAGAAGATTCTTTTATAGATATTTATTAGAAGGGAACCAAAAGGTTTAGATTTGAAATGTTGAATACATCATAAATGGTCAGGAAAAAGAGGAGCTATTAGGAATAGAAAGGAACAAAGAGAAAATGAAGTCAATAAGCCTGAAAATGCTGAAAACCAAGACGAATTTGATGAAGTCTCCATTTGCTATTCTTTTGTTGAGAGATTTTTGTGAATTCCACAAGCCTTCAAAATCCCGCTTATGATGAATTCGGACACATGGCTCCTTTTATCCAGAATGGAAGAAACATGTCCCATACCCCCTGAGATCAAAAAAAGAATGAATCCCTCACAAAGCATAAAGGAAAGCGCGCTAGCTAGGCATATAGGAAAAAGAGAGACTTGTTCTTCTCTCCCAATTTAGGAAGAAGAGAATCGCCGGTTGGGTTGCCCCAACCAAGAAAGGCATGGGAGAGGTAGGCAAAGTGAAATAAGGGACGGGTGCTACTAAAGAATCTTATGAATCACCCCCGTTAATTTCTGTATTAGAACCTTTAGTGTCCCCTAGTAAGGTTCAGAAGTTTAGTAGAATGATCAATATGGCATCATGAGGTTGATATTTATGCTTTTTGGGATCAGTAGATCGTGGTAAATGTCATCGATGCTTATAAGCAGTCTATGATATCTGGGATCCAAACCTTTCAAGATGTCTTTTGTTTATGCCAGTTGTGACTAGAGATCTCATCTTTTATCTCTCATACATCCTGATTTACCATGGATGGTAGTGGGAGATTTTCATACCTTTATTTCTTCTGATGAGAAGTTGGGTGGTAAAGCACCTTCAATGCTTTCTATGGGAGAGTTTTCAGACTTTANTGCTTCTTAGACTGAACAAAGCACAAACTACTTTGATTGGTGTTTCAGGCACTAGTACTCAAAGAGTTAAAAGATCTCAGAGGTGGTCTGCCGGTAATTCCCCACATATTCTTAATGTTTAATTTTATCTCTTGGAATATTAGGGGTATAGGGACAAAGAAGTCCCAGCATAGATTGAAGAGTTTGGTTAATGAGTATAATCCTTAATAGACCCTCCTAAGCAACCGGTGATCACCTCAAATCCGGTATTTGTAATAGTTGGAGATATNTCAACATTTAATTTCATCATCATAGATGTCATATCGCGTATCGGAAGGCATATTGTTTTTCAAAAATAGTGTATCGTATCATATCGTGTCGCATATCGTGTATCGTAAGATACGCGCAATTTTAAATACCTCTGTTTCTAAATATCTGTCGTTTAAGGCTTTTGCATAAGGATTAACGAAGTTATTAAATAGCTCTAATATGAGTAAAAAAATAATTGCACAAGACTAAAATACCCTTATTCAATACGTATTGGGAAGGAAAAGAATATGAAAGACACTTAGTCTCCACCAAATCTAATGCATTGAAAAGTTAATGGGTAAATTTGGAAGAAAAAATACTAATTATACTTTGGTTTCATTAAACGACAGATATTCTGGAACAAAAAAAATTGTGTAAAACAACAGATATTTAGAAACGGAAGGAGTAATTATTAATAAAAAAGTTATAGAGTCATAATAACATAGCGTTTCATTAATATTTCATCAACTATTGAAGTTCTCAACATAGTTCAGTAATATCAAATGCAAAAACCTCTAATTCAAACTTATAACATCAACTACTTGAACAACCTTAATATTAATTAGAAATTTTGAATTAATTTGAACAATATTAACAGCAGATGTTATTTCTTTTTTTAAACCATAACCACTGAAACAACGCAATTTCACTAGCTAGTAATTTAAAAATAAGTCATAGGGTGAAATAATGTCATTTCAAGCCCAAAAAACCAAAAAAATAAAAAATAAAAAAACAGAATCTTCATGTATCGGACGTATTGTATCATATCTCGTATCGTACGATACGTTGTAAAAACGATAAAGAGACACGATACGTATCGTTTTTCAAGTGNAAATAAAAATAAAAAAACAGAATCATGTATCGGACGTATTGTATCATATCTCGTATCGTACGATACGGTGTAAAAACGATAAAGAGACACAATACGTATCGTTTTTCAAGTGTATTGTGACGTATCGTACGATACTAATAACTATGTTCATCATACTCTCAGGAGGAGGATCCCAACTAATCCATTAACTCTAGAGTACAGCAAAAGGATTACCAATTTTGAGATCAACCAGCATCTCCTTACCTCTACCATCATCCCTTCTCTGAGGCTTAACCATATAAGCCTGCCACCCTAATGCACTAACCACCTGTAAAAATAGAGCATAAGAATTCAAATTTACTCCCTCAACCCTCCTTCTGCACCTTTCTTTCCATAAGGCCCAAAATATTAACATAGAAAACCCTCTGATCAAGCCATGGCTCAGAGACAGTCCCTTAAATCCTCTCATCAACCTCAACAGTCTGCAAGTAGGAGTTTCCCCTTGATAAATTCCAAATCCCATAACAGCTGCTACTCTCCTCCACACAGCCTGAGTAAAAGAGCAATTAACAAACAAATGACAAGCACTCTCCTCCTCTAAACAACACAAACTACATCTACTAACCAGCACCATCCCCACACTTTTCACCCTTGCATCAGTGGTCAGAGCATCCCTGAAAATTTTCCAAACACACAATTGAGCACTAGGAAATATCCTCTGTTTCCAGATATCTTTAACAACTACATTCTGAACATCCCTCCTCCTTATATGACTCCATGCAGATTTAACAGGAAAAGAACCTGAATTGGTTAATTTCCATACTCTAACATCAGGCCTATCTGTCAACACCACACCAGCATTCACAATCTCATCCAGCAATTGAGGATTTAGCCACTCAGCCACTACATCCAACTGCTAACCCTCATCATTGCAAATTTCACAACCTTGGGGAAAACCAAAGGGTATCCCTCACACCTCTGACTTAACGGCCCAGAGTCCATCCAAGAATCACACCAAAAATCAGACTCCAGCCCATTACCAAGTAACATCTTGGAATTATTCACAACCAATTCAAACCAAGGCTTCAAAATTCTCAAACATTGACCACCCCCCACTCTTCCACATCTCAGCATGTGTTTCCCTTTAAAAAACTTTCTTCTGAAAACCTTAGCCCATAGAGAAAAGCCATTTAATAAATTCTAGACCTGCTTTATTCTAAAAGCAGCCTGAATATCCTCAAAGCTTCTAATGCCTAAGCCCCCTTCTGCTTTAGGCTTAGCAATCTTCTCCAATGATACCCAATGTCTTCTTTTAACATCAAAATTCTTGACCAGATAAATCCAGCAATTAATGAATTCAGTTTCAACAAGACTCCTTTAGGAATATTCATGCAGGCTAAAAGATGGACTGGAATAGTATTTAACACTGACTGCACCAAAACCACCCTACGCATCCCAGACAACATTTTAGCATACCATCCTTCAATCCTACCCCTGAAATTCCTCACAACCTCTTCAAAATAACATTTCCTGGTTCTTCCTCTAATAATAGGGCATCCTAAATAAGTAAAAGGACACTCTTTTATAGGAATTCCCACCAAAGAAGATATCATATTCCTCTTAGCTAATGAAATCCTCTTAGAAACATACAAAGCACTCTTCAAATGATTCACATTTTGACCAGAACAAGATTCATACAACTCAATGTACTTCATCACATTCACCACATAATTCTTCTTACCTCTCAAGAACACCAAAAGTATCATTAGCAAACAATAAATGACTTCCCAGTGATGTCCCTCTGCCCAAATGATAATGAGTCACCAAATTCTGCAGGTAAATACTCCTCAGTCCCTACTCAAAACTTCTTCAGCTGAAATGAACAAAGCAGGAGATAGAGGGTCTCTTTGCCTTAGACCCCTAGAGTTGGAGAAATACCCATATCTCTGACCATTTAAACTAATAGAAAATTTCTGACTGCCTAAACAATTAGAAATAATTTGAATAAACAGAGGATATGGTAAATCAAGACGCTAATGAGGATGAGGAATGGTTGGCAAATCAAGAAGCTATTGGAACAAATACAGCAACCTTTTTCTCAAAATTGTATACTTTTGAGGATCATACAGTTGGGGGTGAACTATTATCTTTTATTCCTAAGTTGATCACTCGAAAAGAAAATCTAAAGTTATTGGCCTTTCCATTGATGGAGGAGCTGAAAAGTGTGGTGTTTTCAATGTCTTCTGATAGTATGCCTAGCCATGATGGTTTCTCTGGTAAGTTTTTCACATTTACTGCAAGGTTCACTGTTGTGGGCTAAGGTGTTCAGTTCTAAGTTTTTGCAGAATAGAAATCCTTTATCATTTACTTCTTCACCTCTTTCTAAGATATTTAGGAGTTTGCAACCTTGGATAGAGTTCACAGTTAATAATTCTAGAATGTTGGTTGGTACAGGAAGTGGAGTAGATTTCTGGTGTGACAATTGGATTGGTACTGGACCTCTTATTCTTAGAGCCATATCTGTTCCTTCTTCTTTTCCCAAGCTTAATGAGGTTCTTAGGGGAGAGAGCTGGGACTTGGATTCTGTCAATTATGCTTTAGATGATCAGCTAAGGTCTGAAATTTTAAGTTCTGAGGTGATTTTTTTCCAATAGAGCTGATAAATTCATTTGGTCTGTCAGTTCAAATTGTAAGTTTCTATTGGAAGCAGAAGGCACCTCCTAGGGAAAAGCTCCATATGTGGAGGATGTGGAAGCAAGCCATTACATTGGATGATAATGTTTCAAAGTTCGGTGTTGCTATGGTTAGTTGCTGTTGTTTCCATCGTTGTAAATGTGAAGATATGCAACATATTTTTGTGGATTGTGACTATGCTCAGTTAGTGGGGAAAAAGATGGCGTCAAATCTGGGATTTGTGTTGATTAGTGAAGCACCATTGGTTAGATTGAATCACCTAATGAGGACTTATCAGATGGGTTCATTGCAGCACCAGCTTACGGACACGGTGATACGACAAAATCCCAAAATATAGGATACGGGTACGGCGAGGATACAGCTAATTAAAATAATTATATATATTTTTATATATATAACAACAACATTAATAATAATAAACAATCAAGACATAGCAAACATTACTTAAATTCAAATAGTTCAAAGATTCAAAAAGATATATCCATAGTCCACAAGTTTGCTAACAAAAGAACACAAAAACAAAAGGACACAAAAACAAAAGGAATCCGACATCCTCCCTCAATTCACTTCAACGCCCTCAACATCCTCATTGTCAATTCCTTCATCAGTAAAGAGTATGGCCTCCAAATCTGGTTCATCAAGGGAGAGATTTCCAATCTCAAGCATTCCACTACCCTCCTCATCCATGGAATCAAATGCATCTCTTGCAACATCCCACATCTTAATGTTGCCTTTCTTGTATTGAGGAGATTTCCTTGATAGAAGACAGAGATTGGAGTGTACAAATACCAAGTCTTCGGCTCTATCTGGTTTGATTTTGTTCCTCTTTAAAGAGTGTATAAAAGAATAAGTGCTCCAATTCCTCTCACAACATGAGGAGGAACAAGGTTGCCCCAGTAACTTCAAAGTCAAGTTTTGGAGCAAGGGTGTCGTAGAGCCATAGATAACCCACCAATAAGCCGGCTCCATGAATCCTCTATCACTCATGGAATCATGACTTCCAAATTCTTTAAAGCACGCTAAAAACTTGGCATACTCCTCTTTGGCTTTTCTTCGCTCCTCCAAATTAGAAAAGTATCTTTGAAAACACTTTTCTCTTTCATTTGAAATTTCTTCATCTTTGTGTGGAGGAACACGATTAGGAGTCATAGAAAGCCATTATACGCTATAATACCTAAAAGACAGTAAATAAAATGATAATCATTTGATATCTAAAAAATTAAATTAGAATCTTAAAGTTTAGAGTGTACAAATTACCTCGGATTCAAGGAATGTGCCAAGTAATAGAGCGGTGTGTTGCTCTTGCCCCATCTATCCATTAATATTTCATAAACCACCAAATAAAAAGTTGATTCCTCATCTTCCCGCTTCCCTTCATGACGAAAGATAATAACCTTCACTTGCTCAATCATAGAATCCCACATATCATAAACTAAGTGTAGGCAAGGCGTATCTGTATCGGCCTTCCTTAGCATCTCATAAATGGGTTAAGTAAAGGAAATTATATAATCAATTTTGTCCCACCACAAATCATTCAATATTTTCTCCTTCACAAATGCTGCTTTTTCAACATCATCTTCTCTATAAGAAGACCACCGATTACTAATAACCATGTTTTGGAGACCACGTTTTAGAACTTTAAATCTTTTAAGCATTACAATAGTTGAAGCAAAACGTGTCTCCGCAATTGAGAGCATCTTCAAATTCACATGATCATTAAACATGTCCACTCTCATGTTGTGGTTCATAATAAAATTTTTAATGCTCACACAATCCCCAGCAATAACTGAGATCCAATTACACTCTTCATAAACACGTCCATTGGCTTCGGTGGTTTTTGGTGCACAAATATTTTTCAAAGCAAGATTAAGTGTGTGCACCACACAAGGGGTCCAAAAGATGGGTTTATGACAACCCTGAACAAGCATTCCCGCACTCCTACAAACGGGTGCATTATCAGTGATCACTTGAACCACATTTTGAGGTCCAACTACATGAATGATCTCTAGAAGCAAGTTGGATATGAAATATTTGTCCTTATATTCACCTTCACAATTAACTGCTTTCAAGAACATAGACCCACTTTCACACACTGCCATGACATTTATGATTGGCCTCCTTTGAGCATCCGTCCAACCATCAGAAACAATACTTACACCTTTTTTTTTTCCACGATTGCTTCGTTGGCTCTAACAACCTCTCAATGTTTACTCTCTCTTTTTGAAGAAGTGAAGTCCTCAACATATTATACCCAGAAGGGATATAGCCACTAATCATATGAGTAACAACAAAAGTTTAGGAGCGACAATAATGTGTATTCCTTGCAAGGTGGAATGATAAACCAGCCGAGTAANTAGCAAAAGTTTAGGAGCGACAATAATGTGGATTCCTTGCAAGGTGGAATGATAAACCAGCTGAGTAAAACATCCTTGCAATCTCACTATGTAGCTCTTCTCGAGCTCCAACATTAAAGGCCTTCTCAAGAGCAGAAGTAGCCTTCCTTTTTTTTATATCTAAACCAGCCCCCTGCATTAATGAATCAAATCACATTCCCATACCACTACTAACACTTGCACTCGAGAAAGCAAGTTTGCTTGATGCTGAAGATGGTGGTAAAAGGACTTGTTTGGGCACACTTCTTTTCACTCTCACCTCAGCTTCATCAACTAACCTTTGCATTTCAATTAATAATTGCGGAGTCACTTTCCGGCATACTTGAACTCCATGACCGCAGATTTTTAACAAATGTGCTTTAACCCTATAATATGATCCTTTAAAACTCAGTTGACACAAATTGCATTGAAACTGAACATTTCCTCCCCCTACACTATTTTTTTCTATTTTTGTGCAATATTTCCATAAAGGGGTGTGATCATCACTGCCATCCCCACTGCCATCTCCACTGCCACTAGTAAGAGAACTTATTTTCCTAAATCCTAAATAACATGTAACAACACAACAATTTTTAGAAGGCAGCAGGTAGCACAGATGACCATATTAGCACAGATGACAATTTTCAAAACCAGCAGGCAGCAGCACACTAGCACAGAAGGCAGTAGACAGCAGTACAGATGACAAAAAAAAAATTTAGCAGCACAACAAAAAAGAGAAGACAAAAACTAACTAGGAAAGGAATTTTCAATATTTAAAACACAGTAAAGGCAGCAACAAAAAAAATGCTGAGAGAAAGGCAGCAACACAGAAAAATTCAGAACAAAGGCAACAACAAAGGCAGCAACACAGATGACCAAGACCAAAAAAAATTCGGAAGGCAACAAGCAACACAGAAAGGCAGCAACACAGATGACTAAGACCAAAAAACATTCCCGANCCAGAACAAAGGCAGTAACACAGATGACCAAGACCAAAAAAATTTCGGAAGGCAACAAGCAACACAGAAAGGCAGCAACACAGATGACTAAGACCAAAAAACATTCCCGAAGCCAGCAAGCAACATAGCATCAGACCAAAAAAAAATTTCCAAATTTTGAAAACCCTAAAAATTCCCAATCAAATTAATCTAATCAAATTTTTTAAAAGTCCACACTCCACACAGACCAGAAGATAAAGAGGTAAGAGCAGCAGTGGTAGATTTGAAAAAAAAAAAAATTAAAGGAAGAAGAAGAACCTGGAAGATCGTAGTCGCAAATCACGATCACAGCCACAGTCGCTGGTAAGTCTCCCTTCCTCTTCCCTCTCCTTCTTTGGTCCTCTCGAGCAGTCGAGCTCCTTGTATTCTCTTCTCTTCTCCTCTCTCTCTCTCTCACACACTGATCATCGATTAGAGTGTGAAGGTTCACATGTTAGATGGGCTTTGCCCTTTTATTTTTTCTTTTTCAAGTCAAAACGACATAGCTTTGTTTTTTTTTTTTCTCATTTCGACTCCCCTAAGTTTTTATAATAACAAAAATATCCCCGCTGTATTCGACTTAAAAAAATCACAATTACTGTTCAGGACACTTCTCTAAGTGTCAGACACGTATCCGACCGTCGGACACTCGTATCCGTGTCGGACACGTGTCCGACACTGCCACGGCGACCCCCCGACGAGTATCCGTGCTTCTTAGACTGATAGTTATGGAAAGAGAGATGTCGCAGATTTTTTCATACATCTTTGTCTTCCTCGTTGCTTTTACATAGGATTTGGGCAAAGTTAAAAGATTATTCTGCTATTTTAGAAGATTNAATCACTTTGTCCATCACGTGTTGCTATCGATGGATAAGCAAGCAATCTTGCCTTGAGCATCAATTAAATCAAGATAATCTTACACAGGAAAATTATGCAATTTAAAAACAACAAAAGATGGAACATTGACATGCACAATTGCAAAAATGTCAACTTCACTACCCATGATAGAATCATAGAGTAAATTAAACCTGCTTCCANACTTTGCTTAAGTTGGATCCTCCCGTTTGGGTCAGATGGATTCCACCAATCGAAGGGGTTTTAAAGCTGAATGTAGATGGGTCTAGTAAAAGGAATCCTGCTGCATCTGGGGGTGGCTTTGTGCCAAGAGATTATAGATCTAAGCTAATTATTGCAGATTCCAACTTCTATGAGATTGCCATGAATATGGAGGCAGAATCTTTAGCTCTTTATGATGGACTTAACTTGAGTATTACCCAAATTCAAATCGGGTTGATGTTTTTCATCCAGGCCCAACCCCTATTTTTTTTGGTTGGGTTTGGGTTGGCCTACTCAAGTTGCACTCCTATGACTTTAGCGACTTTTACACAAATCAAGAGATTTTGTATGGAAAAAAGAGGGGCATTAGCCATTTATATATTCTCATCAAATATACCAGGTCGCCCAAGATTTCTCTTAATACAAGATTATCTCAAACTCAGCTTCTCAAGGATGAAGACTTTTACTTTATTTAGGACTTTAGGCCTTTTATTTCAATTATGTAAGATGCATGCATTTTTAATTTTTATTCTTGGAGTAAATGTATCTTAGACTTGCATTTGAGGGGTGAGGCTCATTACATTCCCCTCCCCCCCTCACTAGGTGTATTGTTTATTTTTAAATTAATAAAATAATGCCCTCATACCGTCGAGGTTAAAAATAAAAAGAAAGGTATTTGTTTGTATGAAAGGCAAAAGTTTGAAAGTACACAAGAACAAGAGAGTCAAGGCACTAAGCTGTGTCCAGTAGGCAGCAAAAAAATGTGTCCAGAGACTAGGGTAAAGTGCCTCTTCAAAACATTGAACCCTCTACTTGAATCATTTTTTCTGTTTACTCTAGCCAGTTGCCACAGATTCCTTTTCATGGACTATAGAATAGCGCTACAGATACCAATCAAGGTGGCTGTTTGGCACCCATCACTTTGTCCATCA